TCCTTAAAAAATCGGAAAAGTCCTGGGTTCGATGGTATTAAAAGCGAGCATTTGAAAATTATAGCCGAGGACATAACAGAACCACTCACTTACCTAATCAACAAATGCTTTGAATCTGGCATATATCCCTCAATTTTAAAAAAAGGTAATATAATACCGATGCATAAATCAGGAACAAAAACAGATGTTAACAACTATAGACCAATATCAATAATATCCAGTGTAGCAAAGGTTTTTGAAAAAGTTTTATCTACTAGAATGATTCAATACCTCACAAAATTCAAAATTTTAAATGAAAATCAATATGGATTTACACAAGGGAAGGCTACATCGGACGCAATAACTAAAATTGTAAATCAAATACATCAAAATATTGATAACAGAATCCCTTCAATCTGCATTTTTGTTGATTTAAAGAAAGCTTTCGATACACTCAATCACAAATTATTATTAGAAGCATTGGAGAGAATTGGTTTCAGAGGAAACGCGTACTCACTGATCGAAAATTATTTGTCTAATCGCCCACAATCTGTGCAGATATCAGGATCATTTAGTAAAGAAATGTATATTTAGTGTGGTGTCCCACAAGGAACTGTCTTAGGTCCGCTGTTATTCAATATATATTTAAATGATATTTTCCAAATTAATTGTGTTGGCAAAATAACTAGTTTTGCAGATGATACTGCAATATTATATGAAGGCACTGACTGGTATGATCTGAAAAATGTAATTGAAAATGATTTATCAAAATTATTCGGAGGTTTAACAGTAGAAAATTAAGCATTAACTACTCTAAAACACATTTTTACCATTTGGATCTTATGCTAGACATCTGCCAAATTACACAAATTTCTCCTTCAACATTAATGATCAAAAAATGCAAATTAATAAAGTGCCCAACATAAAATACCTTGGGGTGGTCTTGAATCCTCACTTACGATGGGACATCCATGTCAATTATATTTTAAAGAAAGTTAGATTTGTATCCTACAAAATTAAATACCTTGACAGAAAAATATCTTCGAACATTATACCATGCACTGATTGAGCCTCATCTCACATATGGTATATTAGCATGGGGAGCTGCATGTTCCTCACATATCTATAATTCAGATGTTTTTCAAAAAAGTATTCTAAAAATGATATTTAAAAAACCGAAACTTTATCCCACTGAAAAATTATACGCAGATGTTCGAATGTATGATATAAGACAGCTTTATTTCTTACACAGTATCACTCACTACCATAAATTTGTAAACACCGACCAAAAAATTAAACATAATCATTATACCAGGTACAAAATTCGTGGCACAGTAGTTCCTCAACCGCATAAATCTATAATGCAGCGATCATATCTCTATTTAGAGCCTAAATTTTATGAAATTATACCTAAAGACTTAAAAGATTTACGTTTCGGAAATTGTTTCAAAAGAAATTTAAAAAAGTGACTACATTCTATATCTAGGACTGAAATTCATAAACTCATAAATACGAACATTAACTATATAGATAATCTACTGTAGCTAATTTTTGTCCTTTTTTGTCATTTACATGCTACAGTTTCAACTTAAATTATTGGTCCATGTACAGGCGATGCCTTCTTTTGGGCCTGTTTTGATTTTATATTTATTTACTCATATTGTTTGTTATCTTTGTATATTGAGTAAATAAATATTATTATTATTATTATTATTATTATTATTATTATTATTTGAATTCATTAAGGCCCGTATGGTCAGTCGTCTCTACAATTGTAGAGCGCATTTATGGCCTCCTTGATTGTCATACTGCTTTCTCTCCTTCAAAAATTTCTAGATTACACTTGTCCCGTGTCAGCGTCAGCGCTCTCCTATTGTGAAGATATGTTTTCTTTTTAAATTGTAGGAAATTTCAGGCTGATAAAACATGATATATAACTCAAAAGCAAGCACAATTTGATGTAAATAGATGTTTATGACATAACCTCAAAATAGAGCGCTGACACGGAGAAGTAGAAAACTATGACACACTACAATTGTAGGGCGCCTTTATGGCCTCCTTGATTGTCATACTTCTTTCTCTCCTTTAAAAATTTCTAGATTACACTTGTCCCGTGTCAGCGTCAGCGCTCTCCTATTGTGAAGATATGTTTTCTTTTTAAATTCTAGGGAATTTTAGGCTGATAAAACATGATATAACTCAAAAGCAAGCACAATTTGATGCAAATAGATGTTTGTGACATAACCTCAAAATAGAGTTCTGACACGGAGAAGTAGAAAACTATGACAATCAAGGAGGCCATAAAGGCGTCCTACAATTGTAGGGACGACTGACGATACGGGCCTAAGTCTCTGTTGTCAAATGAATAGAATGGAACTTAATGTGGAAAAATGTCATTTAATAGTCTCCAGCCGTAACAGGGACCCCATTGATCGTACTTATACCATGAAAGGTTGTCCTCTAAAGAGTTAGGGATTTAGGGGTAATTCTTGACCCAAAATTATCTTTTATTACCCATATAAATATGACTGGTTCTAAAGCTCTTCAACTGTTGGGATTTATAAAACGATGTGCTAAGGATTTTCATAATATTCAGTGATTTAAAACGATGTTTTCTTCCTTGGTGATGCCCCATCTGGGGTATTGTTCTTGTATCTGGTCGCCCAACTATAATGTTTATATTCAGGCAATTGAGAGAGTGAAACATAAATTCTTAAGATTCATTTCATTCGAACAAAACCTTATGATTGAGAATATTATCTATTCCGTCATGGAAAGCTCTCTCAATATCTCAACCCTTCAGGCAAGATGGAATCAGAGGGACCTGTCACTATTTTATAATATTTTGCAATCTCTTAGTTTTGCTCCAGAACTTTTGAAAAATAATAATCTCCATGTGCCTACTCGTCAACCATTCTATGTGAGATCATTTCGTACTAATTATGCTAGTAATTCCTTCCTGTCTAGATCTTCAAGGTTAGCAAGTCAGTATTCTAATAAGTTTAATTTTTTCAGAAGTCAGAAAACATTCAAAATTCAATAAGATTCCTGTCTGTAATATTCAGTATTTGATTTCCCCATATATTTATATTTCAATTAAATTCGTTTCAATTTAGAAATGATCTGGATTGTAAAGTGTTTGTGATTGTTTTAAGTGTTAAAAGAGCCGTTGAAAGCCAGGACGGTCCAAGTCCAAATTTTCAGATATCGACGTTCTATGTGTATACTGTTGTACTGATGAATCTTTGTCTGGGAGAGTTTTGAAAAATGTATCTTTTCGTTTTGCACACAGATGGCACCAGTCTGTTTTTATATGTCAATGGAAAGCTGTAACCATTAGGAGGCAGAATGGGACAAGTGTGACTTATCCCACTCTGGTTTTCAATAGTAGTGTCAAGCTGGAAAAAAATAGCATCAAGTACGTGCCAGAAGACTGGTATACAACAATAAGATCATGCAAACCCAGGAAACCCTTTTACGTCTGTGAGATGGAAGGTCTGATGTTTTCTCATCAACAACATTAGAGAAAGCTGTAACAAGACGAAAGAAAAATGGTACTAATGCCACTGTATCATGGCTCCAGATCCAGTGGCTACACTTTGAGAAAAAATAACCTTACTAAAATTTTTATAAAGAAACTTTGAATGAAGAATTTCCATATGATTTTATAAATTTACTACCAAATCGAAAAGGCGCACCCAAAAACTTCAAAAATATAAACCTACCTCCTTTGTATGAATCCCCTCTTCCTGTCAACGACAAAAAGAAGAAAAACATGGAAGAGCTTCTCCAATTCATACCACCAGTTCATCACAGTTTTTTCAAGAATCTGAAGACAGATGCAACTTTGCCAAATACCGGACCACTGCTTGTTACTGAAGAAGAAGAAGGAAAAGGCGAACAGTCTCGAGAATTTCCAGAAATTCCATAAGGTCGTGCCAGTACAGTACAGTTTTTGTGTAGAAAATATACATTATTTTTTTACTGTATGAAGATTGATTTCTGTCGTTTTGTAATAAAATTATCAATCCACATAATGTTGTGTAAGTCTACTATACTTTACTATAATCGGTATACAAGTATGAAACCAAAGGTAAGAACCGTTTTAAGGCAGAGTGGGCTAAAGCTTAAACATATGAAAAAAAAACACATGCACCCAAAATGTTCATGTATTTTATGATAAGATACTTAAATTGATTCTACCTTTAAGGGTATTTTGATTTCTTACTGCAGTTTTATTATTCTACATTTATTATCAGCCGCAACTAAACTTTAAAGCCTTAAATCTTGGAAACGTCTTTTTGTGACTTGGACCATCCTGGCTTTCAATGGCTCAAATATCTAAGTCAAAGTAGGGTTAGATTTTCATTAGATTTTTTATGCTGTACTTTAATTGGGCACTGGCTCGTTGATAAATAAATAAATAAAATTCTTTTGAATATCGAGGGAGATGTATGGTAATATCATACTGTATAATATATTTTTATTAGAAACTTGTTAAAATTGCAAGTAATATGATTACACCGGAAATGCTGCGCTAGGCAGAGGTACCTTCCAGCACCTATCAATATACATTTTAGACAGAATAAAGATAATCATCCTGAAATCAATTTGTTTTACTAAGGCGCAAAAGCCCGAAATAGATAAACCTATTACAATAATTTGTACCAAATTCCTACTAGAACTAATATACTTATGATTAAAAAACCCTATTACTGGCGTAGTAAGAAAATAATAATCTACCAAGTAGTTTAAAGAATATACATTTATTCAGAAATTATCAAAAGGCAATTGAATTATTGTTGAATTTATTGTTGTTAAAATTCGCACATTAAATATCGTTGTTATCGAAGCCAAACACAGATAAAAGAACTTTGTCGACTATAAAATTTGAAAAAAATGGCTGTTGAATAAAGATTTGTTTTCAAAAAAAAAGTTATATGGAAAGTTCCGATATAATTGTTTTAACCAACCCTGACCTGGAAACTATTTAAATAAACTCTTTTTCTCTATTTTCCCAGTCAGCAGTAGGGGTCCATTGCCGTATGGGCAGAGGAAGAACAGGTGTAATGTTGGCCTGCTACCTAGTCAGATTCCATGGACTCAGCCCAGATAAAGCTATCACCGAGGTGCGACTTAAGCGACCTGGATCCATCGAGACATATCAACAAGAAGTCGCTGTTAAAACATACCATGATTTCCTTAGATCTACTGCTTATAAAACCGATAGTTGATATTGCCGTTATTGATAACATTTATTTGGGAAAATATTACTTTTAATTATCTGCACTACCCCTTAAGCTTCCCCAGAGCTCCCATGTTTTCCTATATATTGAAAATAAATCCATAGTAAACAGTAGATCGTGTGTACTATAGGACCACGGCAACTAGCGGCAAGAGTGGTTGAGTGGTACTGTTTTCACTTTCGTAGTGGTCGACTCTGGTAAAAAATGTTACTTTATGCTGTCTTAATTCAATACTTGCGTATTTGTCTCATAATAGTCTTAATCAAATTAAACGGAAATACTCCTGGTTTGCGAAATGATTGTAAAGTTTGGTATTATTGATGCACGTTGTTCAAGGGGGTATTTGAAACATGGACGCAAAAATACCGGCTTAACAACGATTCTCTAAGCTCCTCATAGCAGTCGCAGTGCCCTGGCATGTAGGGTTTTGCCTGCGCGGCTGCTCCAGTGTAAGAAAATCATAGATTCCCTGTACATTTGCTCTCGAAATTTAGAGAAATATATACAGACACAATTCGTGCCTCGCTCACGGATCTGCTTCCTTCGTGCAGCAAACTCTGTCTGCGTATGACCGTAGCGCTGGTCCTTCCGATTTCGAGTTATAGCAACGTTGCTAGATTCGTCGCGAGAAAAAGCAGATAGCTGGTGATGCGACATGCACATACGAGGTGGGCGCGATATTAACTGTATGTACGAGCGTTACGCTTGAAGCGTAATTTTATGAGGTTACTTTATTTCGTGAGGTAATATTTGTACATACAGTATAAAGGATATTCCAAATTCGACCCTCACCATTGGGAACTCGGAAATTGTAAGAGATCGCTTAAATAGGGGCAAAGTTAAGTGTTTAAGTAATCAACAAAATGCTGCTCAGAAAAATTCAAAGTACTTCTGGGAAGAGATGGAAAAAATAAAATCTTCCAAAATCGTGTTACTCTTTTACTGACTTTAATTGAAGTGAAATATCGAAATAAATTGCACATTAACATTGCCACTTTTTCTTCTCTACAGGGTGTTTCAGTTTATTGTTGCATAACTTTAAGATTCGATAGAACTTCTAGAATTAATGCATAAAGTCTATATAAACATGGGTCGAAAAATGCGTAGCTTCCGAACTACAGGGTGTTTAAATTTACTTTCTAAAATAGTTTTTTTTAAATATTTTGAACAATATTTGATTTATAACAAAGAAAATTGGTATACAAGGGTTTTTTGGTACGACAAAACGAACCATGGGCATAGTTTTACTGTAGCCGCTAGAGGGCGCTCTCTACTGTACCTGTAGTGTATTAAAATGACCGAAAATTTTTTCTTAGTGCAATTTTTTGCTTTTTGAATAAAAAAACTGATTCTTCGCACTTTTCAACATAAAAAAGCTCTCCTGTGAGTTTTCGTTATAGTTAGCCGTTTTTGAGATATTTCGATTTTTAAGGTTCGATGCATTTTTAATTATTTATGGGAAAATAATATTTTTTTTTACATTTTCGATTTGGGCATTACAAGTAATTAAGATGATCGTTTAGATTGTGTTTTTAAACACTGCAATAATTCCTAACTCCAAATAAACACAAAAAAACAGAATATTAATTTGTTTAATTTTCCAATATTATTTTTAACAAATTAAATTAATTATTTACAATTAAAATGCTATTGGATGGTTAGGACAAACATACAAAATCTGAAGTAGTTGCTCGAAATGTAAACCCAATTGTTCAATACACAATTCACATCTACGAATGATCGAACATGGTATAGCATTATTCAAATAAGGCCTTATTTCATCACATGCATTCCTGATTGTCTATTAGCATATCTCTTGTGGTTACGGGAGTCTGGTACACTCTTTCTTTTAGAAATCCCCACACAAAGAAATCTAATGGACTTAGGTCAGGGGATCGTGGAAGCCAGGCGACTGGTCCTCCACGGCCGATCCATCTTTCTGGATAATTTTCGTCCAGCCAGTTTCTAACTATTCTAGAATAATGAGCTGGACAACCATCAAGCTGGAACCAGACCAATCTTCTTAAATCTAACATAACATCATCCCACATATTTGCATGTTCAGCCTTTAAAAATTCCAAGAAGGTCGCAGCATTTAACCTTGCAAGCAAAAGGTAGGGTCCAAAAAGTCGATTACGGTAGATACCAATCCACACGTTCACACTAAATTCATGCTGAAAAGTATGTTGATTATGAAAATTTACCACTCCACGTCTAGTGAAGCATGACTCATCGGTCCATAAAACGTTACTTAAATACTCCCTATTATTATCAGTTCTATCAAGAATTCACTGACAAAATGTGATTCTTCGTGCTCCGTCCCCTGGCTGTAGTCCTTGCACAGGTTGCAAATGGTAAGGACGTCTATGGTCATTTCTAAGAACACGGTGAACATGGCTTGCTGAAATTCCCAAGGCACCAGATACTCTCCTAACACTTGTGGCCGGATCTCTATCAAACTCACGCAGAATCATACGGGTAAATCTGCGCTCACGATTATGTTTTGATCCCTTTGGAGATTTCCAAAACCATTTTCAATTATTTGGCGATGCACTCTTACAATCTTACAAATACTGAGCGAGTTGGATGTCGTCTGTTTGGAAATCTTCGTGTGTATTCTCTGGCTGGAGAATAGAAATGGCATTTTTATAAAACTTACAAAAAAACAGGTAAAAGAAACTAAATTTCGTGCATTCACAATTGCAAAAAAACGTTTCAGGTCTCAACAGACATCAAAACTAACTGTCAACTAATTGACGTTTAACCTTATTCTGCTTTCAATTTCAAAAATATTTGCAGGCACAGCCTACTTCTAAAAATTATCGGGATACTGACTTTTTAACGTTATTTTATCATAAATAATTAAAAATGCATCGAACCTTGAAAATCGAAATATCTCAAAAACGGCTAACTATAACAAAATTCACAAGAGAGCTTTTTTATGTTGAAAAGTGCGAAGAATCAGTTTTGTTCAAAAAGCAAAAAATTGCACGAAGAAAAAAATTTCGGTCATTTTAATACACTACAGGTACAGTAGAGAGCGCCCTCTAGCGGCTACAGTAAAACTATGCCCATGGTTCGTTTTTTCGTACCAAAAAACCCTTGTATACCAATTTTCACTGTTATACATCAAATATTGGTCGAAATATTTAAAAATAACTATTTTGGAAAGTAAATTTAAACACCCTGTATTTCGGAAGCCACGAATTTTACGACCCATGTTTATATAGATTTTATGCATTGATTTTAAAAGTTCTATCGAATCTTAAAGTTATGCAACAATAAACTGAAACACCCTGTATAAGACGGCATAATCAGAATCCCAATATGAGGTTCGTCTCTTGTCCCTCAGCATCAACTTTATTTTTTGTTACGGACGCTATATTGGATATCTGCTCATATGAATAAAGGGTCTCTATTCTCATTTCAAAAATGTATTGTGTCATACATTGACATTGCCTACTCCAACCCTTAGTTATTCCAGGGAACGAAAATTTGGAAGACGGAGAAGAATAGAAATAAATCGAGCATTGAACAATTTCCAGAGAAAAGTCATCTATGGATGACATCTGGTTATTTATGATTATTATTGTTATTACTACCAATTTAATGTTCATGTTGTGACCTGGTTTCACCATACCTTTCTATTTTCTTATAATATTCATCCAACAATAAATTCATGGCCAGCTAAGGAAATTCATAAATGAATTTAGGATTGGAAAGTTCGATCAAATGTACAAAATTCCAATATAGCGTCCGTTTGAAAACAAAGTTGGTGTCGAAAAAAAAAAGTGTCGAATTGAAAATTTTACTACGCCATCTTGTAGAGAACGATAAGTTACAATGACGACATGCAATGCAATTTATTTGGAAATTCCATCTCAAATAAACCAGGGAAATTTAAAAGTGACTTTGGGATAAGTCTGGTATGCGAAACAGATGATTTTATAATTTCAAGGCTAACCTAAAAAGTTATGTCTTTTTAAGCAACTGAGGTTTCGCATTGTCAATGTATAACGTATTATGCTTTGCTGGAATCAGAATTAAAAAATCTGTTCATCTGCGCAAGAAGAATTAAAATGATTTTGGGAAAATTCCACTTTTCCGTCTCTCTCTGGAAGTAAGTACTTTGAATTTCGAAACTTTCTAAGCGCCATTTTGTTGAATACCTAAATACGCAACTCTGCCCTTATTTAAGCGACTTCGTATCTCTTACACTTTCCGAGATTCCAATGGTGGGGGTCGAATTTGAAACACCCTGTATAAGTACATACCAAGAGGTATTGTAACGTTGTTGACAAACAGTTTTACACCAGTGCTCCAAAGAAATGAGGCTACCGCGTACGGACTCGCTCATTGCTGCAATCCCAGGAATTTATTTCCATAAACATCCCAAATAGTACACTAATGGTTATCCCAAGAGGTACGTCTTTTTGATGTCATTGCACTACGAGCCCCTTCCCACTTCAGTTGGCCCAACTATTGAATTCTTAGTTTTTTTTCTTATCAAACACAAATAATAAAAACGTAACAAGGTGTTATAGGTTTAAAATATTGACAATGAATATTGCGATAATATATAGTAGAAAACACCAACTTTATCACTCCCTAATCAAATTTGCAGCATAAAAATAACACATGTTGCAATTACAGCATATCAACCTATTTTCATTTCAATGCAAAATTAGTCTATAACGCATAGGTGGCTGTGAAAAATAAAAGCCATGACAATTGTTTTTATTAATTACAGCTGTTAGAATACGTTTATAATAGTTTTGGGTAGTTAAGGTTTTCAAAATGGGTAGAGGAAAGGTTATTAGTGAGAAAATTCGGTTAGTGATAATTAATTTTTTTAATTCTGGGAAATCAAACTCAGAAATTGCAACTTTGTTAGACTTATCGCGTTACAGTGTGAGAAATATTGTAGGACGATATAACGTAACTGGTTCAATTAATATTAAGCCACGATATGTGAAAAAAAGTAATATCACAAATGCCGACCGAAGAGCATTAAGAAGAATAATCGTGAAAAACAGGCGTGCCAATTATTTACAATTAAGTGCTCTGTGGAGTGACGCTGTTGGAAGGAGAATTTCGAGGTCCACAACT